CGCGGTTGGTGTGGCTAAGCCTGCCTCGGTGGGACCGACCGTGGCCGTGGCCGGCTGGCCCAGCCTCACTAGCCAGGTGCACCCAGGGGTCCCGGCTGAAGCTCAGGCAATGAACCAGCAGGGCCTCGACTTCCTTGCCTCCCCCAAACCCCCGTGGACACTCGGCTGGTGGTCTCTGAGTTCGGGGCCACACCGTGGGCGCGGGGCTCCTCCCAGGCCTCGGAAGCTGGGTGCCGAGGGCAGCGGGTGTGGCTGAGAAGGTGTGTGCACCCTACTCCAGCCGCGTGCTTGCACAGAATCACCACCGACTCTCTGCGGCCACGCGCCCCTTTCTGAGGCTAGGGGACCTGCTTCTGCTGTCCAGCCTCCTGCCCCCCCACCCTCTCCCGGTGGTCACCTTCCTAAGTCCATCCCCTGGGGCAGAAACGCGGGGGGGGGAGCCCCAACACCCAACTCCAAGGGGCCCCTGCATCCCTGGAGCAGAGTGAGGTGAGGTGAGAACCTGGTCTTTGGGGTCAGACAGCCAGGCCTCTACCTCTTTGGAGACCAACTCTTAAACGGCCCACGCCTCAGTTTTCTTATCTGTAAAATAGGAATAATAGCCATGGAAGGCCGGTGCGAGACGAAGGAGCCCATGCACTTAATGGTGCCTGGCACTCCGCTACTGATGAACAAACAAATTCGTGCGATCCCTCTTGGCTTCCCTGCAGGCGCTCTGGGCCCGGCACTCGTGAGGGGCAGGGGACTTGGGGCGCCACAGCCCTAACCCCGCCGAACGCGTTTATTTTGGTCCCTAGGACTAAATGGAAGCGACAGACGGCAGTCGGGTTGGAGCTACTGGCGGAGGCAGGCAATTACTCAGCGCTCCAGCGGATGTTCCCGTCGCCTTATTTCTACCCGCAGAGTCTAGTTTCCAACCTGGATCCCGGCGCCGCCCTGTATCTGTACCGCGGGCCCAGCGCGCCACCCCCCGCCCTGCAGAGACCTCTGGTGCCCCGCATCCTCATCCACGGACTCCAGGGCGCCAGCGAGCCGCCCCCGCCGCTGCCCCCGCTGGCCGGCGTCCTGCCCCGCGCCGCGCAGCCTCGGTGAAGCGCTCGCCAGCCTCCCTGGGGCTCTGCGTGGGCCTCTTCCGCCTGCCGCTCCGAGGGAGCGGGATTTCAACGCCCCTTCCCCGGGGCCCCCTGGCCGGCCCTCCCTGGAGTCCCCCAAAGGGCCAGATGCCAAGTCTCCTGGGGCCCGGACCCGGACTGAGTCTCCCTAACCCTCCTCGGCGTGCTCTGTCCTGGCCATGCCATCAGGGAGCCACTTCCACTCGCAGGATGTACATACAGGCCCCCACCCCTGGCCGGCTCCCCAAGGCGCCCCCCCGCACCTCCTTGGGTGCAGGTGGGGGCGACCCCGACGCTGCACTCTCTCCCGCCGCCCCCCATGCTCCAGCTGCACACCCAGCCCTCTCCCCGCACCCCTACAGGCAGAGGGGAGTGTGGAGCCCTCCTCCCAGCGCCCAGGCCCGCGGCAGACCTGTACATACGGTGTGCAAAGTATATATGAAGTTATTTATTCGTGACCCATGAGCCCGTGACCGTGTCCGTGAATCAGTGAGTCTGTGGCCTGTGCCCTCTTCCCTCCCAGGCGAGGCAGGAAGGGGTCAAGGGGGCTTGCCCACCACCCCGACGCCCAGCCCCCACCTCCAGTCTCCGTCCGGGGGGCAGGCAGGCCCTCGGGTTCTCTCTCTTTTTTAAATGTCGAAATAAACTTCTTACAAATGACCACGCGCCTGTCCGCGCTCAGCCCTTCTTTCCCACCCCTCCTTAAGATGAACTCTCCCCTCCTGGGACCCGGCCTCCTTCCTCCCTCAACAAGGACATTTTTTTTTTTTTTTTGTCCACCTCTCTTCCTTGGCGCTGTGGTGGGGGTGGGCAGGGGCCCGGATTGGACTCGTTGGAGCCAACAGGCAGGGGCCTCCTCCCTACTCCACCCCAGCCTCAGTCTTCCTGTCTCTACAGTGAGGCGAGCCCGCTGCTCCCTGTGCCCCCCTCCCCACCCCCTTCCTCTCCATCTGGTTCCTATGCTCGCTCCCAGCCGGTCCCGGGGGCCGGAGCGGGGGTCGGAGCCTGGGCTCGCTCGGCTGCGGACCGGGCTGCGGTGCCCTCGCTGAGCCGGCTCATCTGGCCGCAACAAGGGCGCCGGCAGCTGGTGACCGGCCCGCTGGGCGCGGGGCCGACAGATGGGCTCCGAGGCTGCTTCCCCCATCGGCCCCCTCCGCCCCGCGCCCCGGTCGCGCTCGGGCTCCGGACGCTCGCGGGCGCCCAGGCAGCCCCGGCCGCGAGCCGGCAGGACCCGACGAGCCTTCGCTGGGAGCCTGACGCCACAGCGGTAACCCTGCGTCTTTCCCCCTTTACCCTGGGAGTGCGCAGATGAGACCCCGAGGGGAGCCAAATCCCAGCGTCTGCCCCAAGCCCCAGCCAGCGGCTCCAGGATCTCAGGGGAGGGGGTTTAAGGCTGCAGCCAGACTCGAGGCCTCCAGTTCATGTTCAAAGGGCCAAGGTCACCTCCTGGGGCCGTTCCCTCCCTGGGGAGGTGGGCGCAGGTGCTCCCCTCCCACACACCACCTGCAGCTCAGGCTCGGGAGAGAAGACAGGCCCAGGGCTGGGAAGTTTTGGGGCCCGGCAAGCCGAGCCCCCTACAGTTCTGCGGCAGGATTGCTCCGGGAGGAGGGCGGCCTCCTGGGGGAGGGGTGGGGGCATGTTTAAACTACTTCCCCCACCCCATGGGACCCTGCTACTGTTTCCTGCCCCCTCCCCTCCCCACTCCCCACCCCTCCCAACACCCTCACACCACTGCTTTTCTTCCCTGGGATGGTGAGGGTATTATTCTAATTTTGCAAAATGCACAGCAGCTAATTAAGTCAAGGAGCCTCTTGGCTTTCGAGTTCTTTTGCATGTGAATGGGGGTTGGTAAATCCCCAGCTCTGGCTATGCTGGGGGGCGAGGGGAGACTGTCCCCAACTCAGGGTTAATGAAGTGGGAAAGGACTCTCTCATAGTCTCCTGCAAACAAAACCCCCCATGCAACAAACCCAGCCCAAATCCTACATGGATTGACTTAAGCCCAGGGGATAAGTGCTTTAAATTAATCTCATTGAATAAGAATGAGACCAAACAAAACTCTTTAAAATCATATTAAAAATCTATCAAAGGACAACTTGCACTGGTGTGCTTTTCATTTTGTGAAAGTGAAGGAGGTAGAGCAGAGCAACTACCCTTACGTTTACACAGCGGCAGTGTAAACCGCAGACACATTCTCAGCTATGTAATTGTCCTTGTACAGAGGCGACTTCATATCTTACATTAATGAAGAACAAGGCTTCCCTACAAGTTTATAATTACAATATTTTAAATTGTCCCGCACTTCCCATCTGTAATAATAACTACAACCTTTGCGGTGAGGTGGGTTTCTGCTTTCATCCGTTTAGAAGGCTAAATTGGCTTCTCTGTTCCCAACCCTGGGGCTGGGTGAACTCTTTTTTTCAAACACAAAGAGGGAGTGACTGTGAGACCCCCAGCGGGCAGAACAATAGACAGGGTCCCAGGAGGCGTCTTCTCTGCTCAGGCAGCGACCCGCCCCAGTCCCTCGTAAACCCGGGCTCCAAGAGTTGCGGGGGGGGGGGGGGGGAGGCAAAGTTTAAAAGAAGTTGAGAGTCCCCTGTGAGCCTTGTTACGAGGATTCTGGACATTTCTGAAGAGTCTAGCTGATTCTAAGGGTGCCCCACGCAGGCAGGTCTTGCTCTGAATTGTTCTCACGGGCAGAGCAGATTAAGAGATAAGGTGAGGTGGTCACGCAGACAATTTAACAAGACCCGTTAGGTGCCCTTTTTGGGCAGGGCCCCTTGTCCAGTGGAAAAGCGTTAAATTCCTGTCTCATGGAAGCAATGCTTGGAGTCTAATGGCTTTCCCTGACTTCGTGTAGAGGGCCGCAGTGCTGACCAGCAAGGTCACTAGCAGCTTGAGATGCACCTGCATTAAGGGGCTCTCCTTTACTCCCCTCTTCCCTAAATCTCACCTCCCTTCACTAAAGGGGGGAAAAAAAAAGATCAAAGGAATCCACCGGGCTTTGTCAAAATGTCCTTTGCTGAGCTCTGGTTGGCTCCTAGCTTCTCCAAGAGTGGAAGAGGCCGTGCGCACTGCATCAGCGCTGACTTAATCACTCGCCAAGGGCTCTGTGCCCTTCGGTGGGTGAGAACGGAGGCCCCTCTGAAGAACTGCAGCCACGGAGAGCTGCAAACAAGAAGATGTTTTGGATGCAAAACAAGCACCCGACAAGCCCGTGGGGGAAACAAAGCTTTAGGCTGCAACACTCCACGAAATGTCCAAATTCTCAGGGCCTTTAAAGGCGGGGATCAGGCTGGGACAGAGAACACAGGGAAGTTTGGGAAATCAGAAAAATGAGGGACAGTTAAGAATACACACAAAATTAGAATATGTACAGTGGAATTAGGCTAAAGCTTTGCCTAATTGATGCTTGAAACGCATAATCTGGCAAGAGCCATAATAGGAGAAAGAGATTTATTTTAAGGTTATTTAAATTTAGATAATATTAACCCTAAATCTGTTAAATCCGTGTTTCTTTATTAACTGGGGGTAATGTATTGATTCCACTTAGAAACAGGCCTATGAAGCATCTATGGCAAGAAACCCTCACCTAAATGTTTGCAAATTAGGCTGAAGTTCCATCTCTGAATTTGAGTCCCTCACACACTTTGCCAGGAAGGTTCCCGCCCACCTCCCCCAGGAATGCAGGGCCAGGATTCGACCTCTGGAGGAATGAGTGCATGCGGGGTGGGGGTTAGGGAAGCAGGGTTTCTCTTTGATCCTCCCCAATCATGGCCATTAATCCTGTTTCTCACACAGCTGGGTTTTGTCTGTAAAGTTTGATCCCTCCTTTTCTCATCCAAATCATGTGAACCATTACACTCGGAAATAAAAGAAAGGTGGCAGATTTCCCTGAGGCCAGCTTGACAAGTGCTATAGGGCTTTATTATTATTGTTGTTGTTAGAAATTTCACCAACTGTCCCTCTGAATTCATACATGACGGGCCGTGGGGAGAAGGCCACATCTTCCCTCCCGCAGAGGATTAGCGCTCACTGGCTCACACTCGCCCTCTCCCCGGGGCGCTGGTGTGGGTGTGAGCTATGCCCCGCTACCAGGGGGCGTCGGAGGCAAGGACCCTGAGCCCTCTGTGGACCCCGCAGACGGCCCATCTTGCACCACTCTCGACCCGCTCCTGTGGATCTGGGGGTTTTTGAAGCGGGGCCTCATCGCAGGAATTGGAAGAGGACTTCCGAAGGCAAGAACAGAAGGTGGAGAGAACAGAGTCCCGGCAGAGACGTGCTGAGCTGGAGCCCTTCCCCTTCGGACGCCTCTGGAATCCCCGTGTCCCAATCTGACAGTGGGCCATCAGTACGCCCCCCCCCGGGGGCCGCTTTCAAATCTGGGGCGGGGGCGGGGGTGGGGAACACAGTGGGAGAGGGGCGGCTGCGGCCTAGGCCACGCTACAAGGGCCCCCGGAACCCCAGACTTGAAGGCAAGATGGGATTCGATGGGAGAAAAAGCTCGGGAGACTGGTGCCTTTTGACTTCAAAGGCAAAGCATAAAAAGGCATAAATAAAAAAGGCGCCAGTAAACCCATCAGCCATGAGACAGGAAGGTTTCCGTGGACATAAAAGAGGCGGCCAGGCGCGGGAGTGCGACGCGGGGTTTGGAGCTGCCTGCGGACGGGACCCGGGGTCTTCCGACCCACAACCAAAACCTGTCAGTCCTCTGAACAAAGCACTTGTACATCGAGAAAATGTGATTTTTTTCTCTTTAACAAATTGCATCCCAGTTTAAAAAACCCTATTTTATAAGATTCACGATAAGCAATGTGGCGACAGGGCAACAGGAGTAAAACTCTGAGACGCCTGCAGGACCCGGTCAGCAGCGCGGCCCTCCCGCCGCCGCTCACACCACCAGCCTCTTACTGAGGCTCTTACTGGAGGCCACGCAGGGGAGGGGCAGTGGGCGGCGCTGGTGCAGTCACGGCTGGTGGTCTACACCACGCTGACCCCCGCTCCCTCCGGGATAAGCGCCCTCTGGGATAAGCACCATGGCTTCGCCGGGTCTGGGCCTGGTCTGCAGGGAAAGGCGGCACCAGGCTTTCCCACGATGCTCTCCTGACAAGAAGCGGGCCTCCGGGATCCGCGCCGAGCCCCAGGCTTGTGGAGGCAAAGATAAAAACAAAAAGCAGAAAACTCTTTTGGGGAGTCTTGCTGTCCCCCAGTAGGTCTTTCTGGGTTTTTCCATTTCACGGAGAGCATTTCTTCTTTTCTCCCACGGCCGAGGCTGGGCGCCTGCTGCAGACGGCGCTGCGTGGCGGGCTGCCGGGCGCCGCGTGTTTGTTTTGCTTTTTGACCTTGGCGACGCCGGCCTCCATCCCACTTGAGTATTCTGAACGCAAGATTTCAGCAAGGCGGTGTTTACTCCGGGTCTTCTTATGAAGGTCAGGCCTGAAGAACAGTAACAGCAGAGGGGGAAAAGAAACTTTATTATTTTTTTTCTTTCCCATTTGGAAAGAGGCTGATGGCAGCTGGTTCCGAGACTGTGGAACTGACATTTTTGTATTAACAGAAGTACAATCCCTTCAATAGTGCTTGTTTTGATATTCTATGCACCAGAAGATTAGATACGGTGCTGACAGATTTTCATAACGGTGGCAAAATATCATGGCATTTTTAAAAGTGAGGCTTTGTTCTATGTTGTTTTCATGGAAAAAAAAAAGAACGATACACACTCACACTCTGATGGCAAATGAAGTGTGTGATGCAGCAGTTTGCCAACGGATGGGGGGAAACCCGCCTTGAAATTCAACGGCCTCTAGCGGTGAGAGCCGGCCAGCGACCACGGGCAAGGAAGCCCCGTGTAGTTCAAAGCCTCCTCCGGACAGGGGCCACACAGTGCCTGGGCTGGGGTATCGGTCCCAGACTCCTCTTCACTGACTGAAGAGCCTCCTGTAAACATTCCTGACCTTGAAAACCCCAAACCCAGGGTCTGCGGGGGCAGGCGGGACGGGCAGCTCTCCGCGGACCACAGGCAGGGTGCGGAGCGAGGCGGGGGCTCCCTGCCCCAAGCCACGAGGAAAGTGTCAAAGGCTCAAAATCAACCTCCGACGCTGAATACCAGCAACTGTTTACAAGAGACTGCAGCCTCACCATTTGATCCGAAGCTCAGAGGGAGAAACTGGTAGAAGTTCAAGTACACACTATGAATATCCGGGAGTAAATGTTTCCCAAGAGAGGATTTTAACCCCAACAACAAGAGGGCCCTGGCCGCCACGCCCACTCCGCTGTGCCGGCAAGTCCCCCAACTGCCAGCAGTGGGCCCTTAGGTTCTTAGGAAAGGCACACATCACCCTCTGCAGAGTTGCATCTTCTTTGTAAGACTCGGGAGATCGGCTGGGCTAAAGTTGGGGTCAAAATGGAACGGAACGCCCTTAAAGCTCAAGAATTAGCAACAGGACCGCTGCTGTGCTCGTGAGCTGCTGAGGGTCGGTGGCAGAGGCCGGTGGCAGCGTCGTCACTAGTGTAAGGCAATTACCCCGCATTACCCCACAGCTGTGGCGGGGCTCAGACAACCGTGTGACAGGCCCAGCGTGGCTTTCGACCAGGACACACAAGGGGAAACACGGTCACCCTCTGTTGGGAAACAAGATCTGAAAATCTTTTAAGGCTTAGAGTTTATCGTAAGCGTGCACGGAGGGGCGGGTGAGGACTTCGCGAGATTCGGGGCGAACGGGGGGGTGCCTGCCGGGCGGCACGGCACCTCAGGCGCTCTCCGCGGGACGAGGGGGGCAGGCCAGCACCCTCGCCTCACAGACAAGGAAACTGTTCTGGAGGAGCGTGAAGGACCTCGCCCAAGACCGTCTAGCTCGTAGGTGCAGGCGCTGAGATGCGCACACAGGTCACTCGCGCCTGCGCTCCTCCCGCCAGGCCGCTGGCCCAGGGCCGCACAACTCGGAAGGTCTGGCAGGAGCGGGGGTGGCAGAGAACCACAGTCTGACGGGAGGGGGGTTCTGCGGTCACATGGGGATGCCGCAGGGGGCAGAGCGAGCAGAGTCTGGACGGCGGAGGAGGGAGGAGCAAGTGGGGACAAAGAGGAGAGCTGGCGGTGAAGGAGGTGCCGGGCCTGGAGCCTCAGTTTCCTCATCTGAACAATGGGGACGACACTTTGAACAAAGCTCATAGGTGCGGGGGGATCAAAGACGACGCGCAGTGATGGCTGGCATGTGGCTTTCAGTCAATCAGTTAAAAATGAGGAAACTGAGGTCTGGAGACGCCAACCAAGCGCCTCCGCCAAGGCCACACAGGAGGCAGGCCCGCCGCCGGGGGCCCTCGATGCCCAGGTCCGGGCACCTGTGGCTGCATGCCCCTCTCCTGCAGGGTCATCATCTAACCCCCCGAGCCCTGCCTGGGGTGGCCCGTGGGCCCCACCTGGGGGGGGCTGGGGGGCTGGCGCGTGGCTGGCAGGCGGCAGGAGCCAGGCCTGCAGCTGTGGGCACTGAACTTGTTCCAAACTGAAGGCTGCCATTCTTGTGCGTGTAGTTTATTTTTAGTCGGGCTACATGACAGACGGAGTGAGAAGGTTCTGACAGGAAGAGGTGCCGCTTCTTCCCCGTTTGAAGCCAGGTACTCACAATGTGTATAATTTTAAATCTAACAACCCGAGTTTCAAAATATGCAAAATTTCAGTCAGAATACCCTCCTCCTCAGCACCGGCTCCACCACTTCCGTGACGGCTCCTGCCACTGCTAAAGCACAATAAATACCCAGAACCTGGCTGGGGCGACTGATACCCTACTCGGCGACAGAGCGGGCACAGACAGCCGAGGCAGCACACCCCCAGCCGCGGGTGCACCGACGGGCGGTCCTGCAGACGGGGCCGGAGGGACGGCTCGGGGGACCGCCCCGGCGGGGGCACCACACGGCTCCCTCCCGCCCCTTCCCAGACACACACAGCTGGGGCCCGAGCAGCACCAGGTCCCGTCTGGTGGGTACAGGGTGGCACTGAGGAGGCAGGCTTACTGAGGACCTCCGAGTCCACACCCTGGCGGGGGACGCGTAGGAAGCGCGTCTGGGAGGCGGTCCTGCCTGCCTTCAGCTTTTGATCTCAAAACGCCCTGGCTATCTTGCCGTCTCCTTCTGGGCAACGTACTTCCGACCCAGGACCCTAACCCGAGCCCCGAGGCTCCGGGTGGTCCAGAGGGCAAGCAGGGCTTCACCTCCCAGACCCAGACCCGCTCCCCAGGACGCGGACCTCAGGGTGGGCCCTGCAGGGGTCTCCCTGCCGCTGGGGGAGCAGCGGGACCCAGCTCGCGGTCTGCCGTTGCTTTGTCCGGGGGCCCGGTGCCGAGACGGCAGAGTACAGATGGGAAGGTGGAACGTCCTGAACCCAGGCCCGCGCCGGGCGCATGTGGCCTCTCGGTGCCTTCTTCTGCCAAGCTGCGCTTCTCCCAGGGACTTGCCAACTTCCTCGCCCTCCTTGCCCTCCAAATACTCAAACCCCTCTCGAATGGACTTCCCAGTCCACTGGAGTAATCCCGCAGTTACCAAGCAACAGATCAGTTTATCTAACCACAGGGAGCTCCCTTGTAGTGAAGGCTGAATAACCCCCCTTGGTTACCAGGCTGGATTACCTGGCAGGACGGGCAGATGCCACTTTCACTGCCAATAAGGTGAAATCACAGCCTAATTAGTAAATCAATATGCCCGTTGGGTGACCACTGCAGAAGAGGGGCCTCAGGACCTTCTCCTGCCTTTACTGACAGATTCACGGAAGGCTGCCCCAGGTAGGAAGCTGCCTCGGCTCAGGCTTGTGTTCACGGCATCCTTCTACAGGACATAGTTGTTCACCTGATCTTCTTTAATTTATGTACTGTCAGGCCAATCGATATTTCCTTTTACGTTTTACAGCTTTAGGATCACGCTCAGAAGAGTCCTCCTCATCCCAGCATTTAAGAATGTTCAAGCAGGGGTGACGGGGCGGCTCAGTCGGCTAAGCATCCGACTCTTGTTTCAGGTCAGGTCATGATCTCCCGGTTCGTGGGATGGAGTCTTGGATGGGGCTCTGCGCTGACAGCGGGGAGGTTGCTTAGGATTCTCTCTGTCCCCCTCTGCCCGCCTCTCCCCTGCTAATGCGTGCTCTTCTTTCTCTCAAAATAAACAAACATTAAAAAAAAAAAACCTCAATCATATTTTCCTGTAGCCTGCTACTACCTTAACTCCATCTAGATTTTATTCTGGTTTAACTATTCCTTCCCAACAGCTGTCCAACATAGTCACTGGACACTAAGTCTGCTCCCCAGGACTTGAAATGCACCCCTGTGACTCTTCCAGACACTCAGAACACTTTCTGTAGGCGATACTTGAAGAGATGATGAGGATGACGATGGCCAACACTACAGAGGTCTACCAGATGTATCAAAACACGTGAGCAAATACCACTCACGTGGGTGGCAAAGGGATTTAAAGATAAAACAAGTCAGTCTTTCACACTGGCCACCTGGAATAATAATTCTACCACTGACACTCACTGGGCATTTGCTGCGGGCCAGGCTCTGTTCTTGGCACCAGACGGGTATTCAACTCACTTACTTCACTCATAACCCCACGAAACACCTACGGTAACTCCCTTGCGTTATTGGTGAAGGAATGGAGTCACGGGGAGGGAGGTGGCGCCCAGGGTGACAAACCGGTGACAGAAAAGCAGGGACTCCAGTCCTGGAAATCTGACCTCATGACTTGCACACTTAACTACTGGGCTGTTAAGTGTCCGTCAAAACAAGAAGCAAGTCTCCTGCACAAGATTATTTTTACACCAAGACAATGCCCACGCTGTCTCAGAATTTCAGAGACTCCTGGTGGCCCCAACAAGTGCATCTTAAAAGTGATGGTTGGATTAACTTGGGCGAAAAACAGCAGCTTAAAAAAAATCGCACGATTTGTTCAATTCCATCATGGACAAAAAGAAACCCATATAAGTATACTTGCAGTGGAGGCCTGAAGGGTATAAAAATGTGACTCAAGGTTAACTTGGATTGTGGGCTTACGGGTGATTTCTAAGCTTTTCTCTACTTCCTGAATTTTTACAATGAACATGTGTTATTTTTACAATCACAAAGAATAGCATATTCATTTCAGAAAAAAAAATCAAATGGTAGAATTTTGCCCTATGCCACCAAAATATCAAAGTATTTTAATTTTTACTTTTCAAAACCTTTTTGCCTTTGGCTTTTAGTTTGTTTGATTCTGTGAGATATTTCTCTCTTAAAACAGACAAAAACACAGACTGAGGAGTAAAACATACTTATTCTTTGATCTGAAGGATTCTGCATGTAAGCAAATGACCCAGGGACACAGTGAGACCCAATCCCCCCCGACACACACATACCAAGGACTCGGAGGGAAGCTTTTCCCCCCCCCCCCATCTGGAAGAAAAGCCTGGGTCCTAATCG